TCAACGCACGGGTTAAGGTGTTAGCAGTGTCGAGATTTTGAGTAAAAACACCAGCAGCTAGTCCATATGGAGATGCATTCGATCTCCGGATCACCTCATTGACGTCCCTGTTTCATTTATATATATAATAAGTTAACGATGTTTATATCCGAAAGAAAAGAAAAAAGAAAACCGAAAAAAATGATTGAACTCACTTGAATTTGAGAATTGACTGTACTGGTCCAAAGATCTCCTCTTTTTCTATTAGCATGTCATCCTATAGATGAAAGAAAGATCATTTAGGTAATAATTCAACTGAATGCAAAGGGTGTGTCTGTTAGCAGTTTAATGAGCTTAATGGGATTCACAGCTTATTCAGTCCGCTATATACGACTGTTTGGAAGTGGGATATAGTAAGTGGCTTATAGAGTAAGCTTCTAGAACGGAGCTTTATGCAAAAAGCCAAAAAAATTAAGAACCTGTCCATCCCAATGAGAATACTCTCGAGAAACAAAAGTCTTCCCAGTTTATAGACGTATTAACACAGATATCTTTATCCATGCATGACGTAATGAAAGTCCAACCAAACAACCCCTAAAACATGTTCTTTTTGTATAATGTTACCTGGACGTTTGAGAAAACAGTGGGCTGAATATAATATCCATTTGACCCAAATCTTTCACCTCCCATTTCAAGTGTAGCACCACTGTCAACACCAGATCTTATGAACTTCAAGATCTTCTCAAACTGCTCAGAATCAACCTGAAAACGTACATTCCAGTTTAATAACATGTTCGTAATGTTTCTTTTGAGTAATTATCTCAAGAAAGATGAGGGACTATATATATACCTGAGGACCTTGTTCAACACCCTTCTTAAAAGGATCACCAACCACACGGTGTAAAGCACGAGCCTTTGCTTTCTCTACAAATTCATCATAAACGCGTTCATGTACGCATGTACGTGATCCAGCACAACAACATTGGCCCTGCAAATAGCACCACACACATGCATAATACAAGCAATCATATTGAAAACAATGCTAGTTCTAGTGGCATACAAATCAAATCATTCGTCAATGACAGAGTTTGTATAGGAATTCGGCTGGTGTTTGATGGAACAAACCTGATTGTAGAAGAGAGCAAGATGTGCTAGATCAACAGCTTCATCAACATTGGCATCCTCACACACAATGAAAGGAGATTTGCCACCAAGTTCTAAAGTCACTGGTTTAAGATTGCTTTGTGCAGCTAATCCAAGTACAATTTTACCAGTCTCAGTGGACCCAGTGAAAGCAAGCTGCATGAAGAAGCTATCAAGTTAACATTGATGTRAACCATAAATATGATCCAGACAASCCTTTTACAAACCTTATCCACATCCATATGGCTAGCAAGAGCAGCACCAGCACTGGGACCATAACCAGATACAATATTTAGCACACCAGGAGGAAGTCCTGCCTGTTGAATGCATACAACATAGAATTAAAAAAAAAGAGAGAGAGAGAAGCGAAAGAAGTTGAGCAAATTTGAGTGTTACAAATCTTTATATTACCTCAAGGAAAAGCTTTGAAACATAGAGGGCAGATAATGGTGTATGTTCAGCAGTTTTAAGTACTACAGTGTTACCACAAGCCAATGCAGGCCCAACCTTCCAACCATACATCAGAAGAGGGAAGTTCCATGGTATAATTTGCCCTGCAACACCAATGGGTTCATGCAGGGTCTGGACATGATGCGGACCGTCAGCCTGAATTGTGAACATGGGTATTTCATCTGCCTAAGTGAGATCATTGGGGTTCATTGTAATCATTAATATACTTAGTAGTCAATTTTTTTACTTATAAGTTATAATCATGTCAAATATAGATTTAGGAAAGGGTAATTCTCATTTGTAACCCTCAAGAAAATTTGGAGGTAATTTATATAATTAAATTTAGTTCCCCCTTGACCAATATATCTACATCCACCACTACTTACCAGCATAATACCGGAAAAGACGAATGAACAGGGGTATTTCATCTGCTGCTGCCTGATCATATGGCTTCCCATTATCCCAAAATCTAAGCGAATTATTCTTCAATTACGACAAATTAAACGACACAAAATTGAGACAAGTGCATACAAGAGAGAAATTAGGGTTACTGAGTTGATAATTTTACCTTCTTACGAATACGAACATGACGTGCTTTTCTGTTATCTTGACGAGTTCTGGCGGAGGTCGGCGACGGCCTCTCTCTCGATCGATATCGCCTCAGTATTTCATCTGCCTAAGTGAGATCATTGGGGATCATCTGCGGTTGAACGAAGAGCTTCTACGGTGGTCGGCGACGGCCTCTCTCTCGATCGATATCGCCTCTCTCGATCTCTCGTTCGCCTCTCTCTCTCTCTCTCTCTCGATATCGATAAGAAAAGCGTCAGCTGGAGAAGGAAATATTAACCTAGATTTTAAAAAAAATCAGCGAGGGATATATTCCGTCGCAAAAATTAAATTAGATTTTTTAAAAAATCAACGAGGGATGTGTTCTGCCGCAAAAATTAACCTAGATTTTTTAAAAATTCAGCGAGGGATTTATTCCGTCGCAAAAATAAAAATAGATTTTTAGAAAAATCAGCGAGGGATTTATTCTGTCGCAAAAATAAACCTAGATTTTTAAAAAAATCAGCGAGGGATTTATTCCGTCGCAAAAATAAAAATAGATTTTTAAAAAAATCAGCGAGGGATTTATTCCGTCGCAAAAATAAACCTAGATTTTTAAAAAAATCAGCGAGGGATTTATTCCGTCACAAATATAAACCTAGATTTTTAAAAAAAATCAGCGAGGGATTATTCCGTCACAAAAATAAAAATAAATTTTTAAAAAAATCAGCGAGGGATTTATTCCGTCGCAAAAATAAACCCAGATTTTAAACACAATCAGCGACGGATTTATTCCGTCGCAAATATTTTGTGTGTGTCAGAATATACAAATATATATATGTATAAATATATATATGTATAAATATATATATG